ATCTTGCTTGCCATAAACACACGGTTAAAGTGCACCTGACTAGCCAGTGCACACCTGTAATCCCAGTGCTCTCAGATCTGTCTAGCTTGAGGATAGCCTGAGCTACATAGCTTTTGTCACCAAAGAAAACACAAACAAAACAAAATGCACCCAAAAAAATAACCAAAAGAATAAAATCTAGCTCAGCTGTGGTGGTGCATGCCTTTAATCCCAGCACTCGGGAGGCAGAGGCAGGTGGATCTCTGTGAGTTCCAGGCCAGCCTGGTCTACACAGAAAGTTCCAGGATGGCCAGGGCTGCTATACAGAGAAACCCTGTCTTGAAAACAAAACAAAACAAGAATAAAATCTAGGAAGTTGTGTTTGGGGAAACAGAAGTTCAAGGAAGAATCTCCCAGCTAACATTAAACATATAACTCAGGTCTCAAACTGTATTAGTCTAATGGGTTTCCTGCTGGTGCTATCCTGAATCTAAAAACAAACCCCAGGAAAAGGTCCAAATACTTTTGGGGACTCATTCATGCTAGAGGTAACATTCTGAATCATGGGTGATCATGAATTACTGAGAAAATGATACCGGAGCAATTGGATCTCCACCAGGGAGAAAATTCAGATGGTTCAGTATCTAAGCATTGAAATGAAAATACTAGAAGCCAGATATGTATGGTGGTTCACCTGCAACCCTAGCACATGGGAAGTAGAGTCAGGGGGGAGAATCCAAGGTCACCCTTGGCTACACAGTGAGTTGGAGTTTCGGTCTGGGCTAGATGAGGTTCTGTATTTTAAAAATCTTGCAAATATGGATAAATAAAAATTAAGGTCTGGAGCGATGACTCCATGGCTGAAAGCACTTGTGCAATCATGAAGACCAGAGTTTGGATCCCAGCAGCCACACAACACCCTGGGCATCATTACTCATGTGTATAATCCTAACTCCAGAGAGGAACAGAGGCAGAGGGTCACTGGTACTTGCTGGCTCCAGCCTGATCAAGAGAATGCAAACCCCTGATCTAGGGTAAGACCCTGCCTCAAAGGGATGGGCAAAGTTGGAGGTGGTGGTACAGGCCTTTAGTCCCAGCACTAAGACACAGTAAGAGCCTGTCTCAAACAAGTACGTATCAAAGGGACAAGAAGGGAGTGGTAGAAAATACTGGATACCCTCTCTGGCCTCTGAGGCTGTACTCTTCACCCATACACACACACTCACACACACACACACACACACACACACACACACACACACACACACGGAAATACAATCACACAAATGAATACACAAGTCAATAAAAATTAAACAACTAAAACTCTAACAGAGACACATACCAACAACAAAGAGCAACCACATAAAAGGAAAATAGTTTTCCTGTAAGTGGTGACAATGCCTTCAATATCTAAAGAACTCTGAAAACCAGCAAGAAAATGTAAATAGCACTATAGAAAAGGGACAAGGGATGCTATTTCACAGAAAAATATATAATAAACAAGATAACTAGAGCAGCTTTTTAAATTTTTTATTTGTTTATATTTTATGTGGAACTGGAATTACAGACAGTTGTGAGTGCTAGGACCTGAACCCGGGTCCTTTGGAAGAGCAGCCAGTGCTCTTAACCTCTGAGCCCCAGAGTTGCTTTTAAATGAAGAAAAACACACATGACATGGCATTTAAACAATTTATTTACAGGCTTTTAAATTTTTTCTCTTTTAGGCCAGCCTGGTCTACATAATGAGTGACAGGACAGCCAGAAATACATAGTGAGATTCTATCTCTTATCATTTAGATACATAGGCATTTTCATTTTTGCTACAGGGCCAGGAAACATTAATTTGGAGAATCTGCACGGTTGACTCCCCAGGAGGGGCACGAAGCCAAGAATCAGGAAGTTAAACAAAGAACACATCTTTGGGGGAGGAGCCCCTCCCCTTCTTTCTCTCTTCCTCTGGGCCATCCTCCCTCCAGGAAGAGACTCTCTGTGAGGTCATGACGGGCCACTTGTGGGCTATGACTGGCATCTTTGCATGGCTTGCTTTGGGTTGAATATAACTGGAGATTTACAAGATTTACTGAATTCACGTTTACCCGTCAATGCCTGCCTGGCACTGGAGAGGAACTCAGCCTCTTTTCCGATTCTGTCCACTCTTCAGTAGTTGTCCTAACCAAAGCCTGTGTTTCACAGCGGACTTCTCTGAAGTCAGGTTGGCAGTGCTGCACACCAGCATTCAAGCTCCTGAGTCAACTATCTGGCCAGGCAGAGGCTCGAGCCTCAGCTGCCCCCTCTCCGAGCCAGCTGTGTTGACTTAGGACAACCGAAGACACCAGTGCTTCCTCTGCCTCACAAGGGGAGACAATAGCTGGTCCTGAAGCCTAGTTTACTGTTAGGATTACAAGGATCATGCAAGGATGGCGTTTGTAACACGGATGTGCAAACAGAAGGTTCTCAGTGCTCCACAGTTAGCTGCCAAATCACACGGAGACATTGAGGGCATTTGAAAAACATGTAGGAAAAAAAAACATGTAGAACGGCCCAAACCGTAAGTCCTTTCTGTTGTTGTTAAGTTAGGTAGGGACTCATATCCCAGGCTTGAACTTTGCATGTGTGTGTGTGTGTGTGTGTGTGTGTGTGTGCCTGTGTGTGTGTACCAGTGGTTCTCTTACTGGTATCCAGGGCTCACTGCCCTGGCCAGCCAGGGAGCCCCAGGGACCCACAGGTCTCCATCTCCCCCGCATGGAATTTAAGGCTTTAGGCCACCATGACCAGCTTTTTATGTGGGTACTGGGGATGAAACTCAGGTCCTCACACTTTGAGTGGCAAGCACTTCCCCAGCTGGACTGAGGCAGCCCCCCCCCCCCAGTCCTGACCTTGAACTTCTAATCCTCTTGCCTTGAATACTAGGATTAGAGGCAGTGCTGAGAACCAAACCCAGGCTTCATGCACGTTCCAGAGGCATTCTACAACGGAGCAACATCTCTAGATTATTTACCCACACAAAAGAATGCCAACGATATTGTATAAAGAAAGCCAACGATATTGTATAAAGAAAGCCAATGATATTGTATGAAGAAAGCCAATGATATTGTATGAAGAAAGCCAACGATATTGTATAAAGAAAGCCAACGATATTGTATAAAGAAAGCCAACGATATTGTATGAAAAAAGCCAACAATATTGTATGAAGAAAGCCAATGATATTGTATGAAGAAAGCCAATGATATTGTATGAAGAATGCCAATGATATTGTATGAAGAAAACCAATGATATTGTATGAAGAAAGCCAACAATATTGTATAAAGAAAGCCAACGATATTGTATAAAGAAAGCCAATGATATCGTATAAAGTTTGACATTGGTTGACAAATATAAAAGACGGCTTTCTGACACACACAGACAATGTCATCAGTACTCTCCCAGAGGTTCTGTTCAGGGGCTCAGAAAGTAAGTGCTACCCCAGGCCCTCCCATGACCCACTAGCCCTCCCTTTCTGTTTCTCTGTTCCCAATATATTATCTCTTCACCCACCACACACACTTGGTTCTCAGACCGCCTAAGGATCATCTTAACTGAAACTGTCCTGGGCATCCTCACACAGGAGCTAACTGCCTTGATTTCTGTCACTGCAACAAGGCTCTACCTCCTTCACAATGGTGACTGAATAATTGATTATCTTCCCAGGCCTGGATGCCTGGCCTGCAGACACCAACAAAAGATCAGGCACACCACTAACAACGCCAAAGACAGGCAGCCAGGGAAGGGAGGGGTAATAGCAGGGTTTGCAAGACCTGGGGCAGATTCTGCCGCATGGGGCCCTCATCCACTGGCTTCTTCTCCAGGGCTCCCGGAAGTTGAGGTTGGAGCAACCAAAGACCAGCAGCTCTGGAGCGGAGAGTATTAGTCCTACAGTCACACAGATCTGCCCAGTCACAAAACAAGAACCAAAGGGCAGAACCCAAAGTTCTGGGTTCATCAGAGAGCCCAATGGCTGGCAGGTATCTATTGTGAGCTGCTCTGTGGAATCCAGTCTCCAGGCGTGACCCTTAAGATGTGATCTGGGAAAACAAATTTGTCACCTCACCCAGAGCTTTTTTTAATCACAAATCAGGGACTGGCAGGCACCTAGAGCTCTTCTAAAAGTCCGGAGTTCAGTTCCCAGTACCCACATGACAGCTCACAGCCATCTGTCTGTATTTAACTCCAGTTCCAGGGGGATCAGACACCCTCTTCTGGCCTTCCAGGGTACCAGACACACAAGTGACTTCACAGATACACATGTAGGCAAAACACACACACGCGAGCGAGCGCGCCCACACACACACACACACACACACACACACACACACACACACACACAAAATACATAAATCACGGGCCAGTGAGACTTCGCTCAGTGGGTTAAGGCACTTGCCACCAGGATTGACACCTGAATTCAATCCGTCCGGGACCCACACATGGGAAAGAGAAAACTGACTCCAACCTGCATACCCACTCCACGGCACGTGCACGCTCACACACACACATAAACACAAAAAATAAATGTATTACATTAAACTTTAAAAAAAAACATTTGAGTTGGGTTTGCTGGAGCACACATTTAATCCAGCACTCGGGTAAGCCTGGTCTACCTAGTCCAGAACCTCGTCAAACCAATCAGGTATGCTTTGGTCCGCTTGCTTTTTGGTTTGGGGACAAGAGTCTGACTCCGCAGCGTAGGCTAGCCTGCAATTTACTAAGTAATCCAAACTGGCTTCGAGTTCGTGAATGCCCTCCCGCCTCAGTCTCCCAGGGTGGGAAGTGTGAAGCCGTGGGCCCGGCGCTCCCAGCAAAGCGGCCCCAGACTTCGGAGGGCGAGCCGCGGAGCGCCACACCCAAGATGGCTCCAACCGGCAGCCTATTCGCGAGCAGCGACAGGCGCGTACTTCCGCCTGCCACTCCCAACATGGCGCCGCCGGAGCGTCTCCCTCCTCCCCGGGGGGGCGGGGCCGAGGGAGGAAGTGGGTGTGACAGGGACGGAAGCCGAGCTGGTCCCCCAGGGAAGTCAGCGGCGGGGGTGGGGTGGGAGTGGGAGCAGCGCCGTCCGCGGCGATGATTCCCCCGCAGGAGGCTTCCGCCCGGCGGCGGGAGATCGAGGACAAGCTGAAGAAGGTGAAGCCGGGGGGAGGGTGGGGGAGAGCGCGTAGGAAGGGCGCCGGGTATCGGCTGCGGGGTGGCAGGACAGACGCGGTTGCGGCTAGGCCGTGGGGTCGGGCGGGTGGGGGTGGCCTCCTGTCTCCGCCGGCTTGGGGTGACGCCCTCCCGTCCACTCCGTGCAGGAGGAGGAGACGCTGTCCTTCATCCGAGACAGCCTGGAGAAGAGCGACCAGCTCACTAAGAACATGGTGAGCAGCCCTCAGCTGGGAGGCCGCGGAGGACGGGTGGGCTGCGGCGTGGGTAGCAACGGCGGTCCTGCGTGGGCTTCTCCTCGGCGCCCTAGCCTCCGCCCCCTCACTGAAGACTTGTCGCTGTCAGTGCTTCTGCAAACGTTCGGTGGTAACCCCGTAAATAGGCTGGCTCTAGCCCCGCGTCATTGTCAAGTGATGGATGCTGGCCGGGAAGGTTGTGTGGTTCAGTGAGATTACCGAGGCAGCAAAGTCCCAAAGGGCTTTCGGGATGGAAACCACCTCAGAGAGCTAACGGATCTTAGATCCAGCCCTTGTCCCCACAGCTTATTTTTGTGGTTCTTGGCGGGCAGGACTCGAGTTTCGGTTAATTTGTCTGCCAAAACAAAGACGGCCGCCCAATGTGTCTGAGGGGGCGTTTGAACCAATGCATGTTGCACACTGTCTGATATTTGGTGGCCGCTTTAAAAAATGCTGTTATATTCTTCTTTCTTTCTTTCTTCCTTTCTTTCTTCCTTTCTTTCTTTCTTTCTTTTTCTTCCCGAGGCAGGGTTTCTCTGTGCAGCCCTAGCCGTCCTAGACCTCGATTTGCAGATCAGGCTGACCTTGAACCCAGAGATCCCGGTGCCTCTGCCTCCTCAGTACTGGCACTAACGGCCTGCGCCACCACTGCCCAGCTTGCTTCTTCAGTCTTAGAGGAGACTGGATCACAGATTGAGTAAATGCAAACCTGCATTGTGTGTGGTTGCGCAATAATAAAGATTTGTGCTTCTTTAATTAGATTCACCCTTAGGGGAAGGGGTCTTTTTTTTTTTTTTTTTTCGAGACAGGGTTTCTCTGTGGCTTTGGAGGCTGTCCTGGAACTAGCTCTTGTAGACCAGGCTGGTCTCAAACTCACAAAGATCCGCCTGCCTCTGCCTCCCGAGTGCTGGGATTAAAGGCATGGGCCACCAACGCCCGGCTGGGGAAGGGGTCTTTAAGACAAGAGCAGTGTCTTCGAGACTGCTCTTCGTGAAGTCACTTCCTGTTCAGTCTAGGAAAGTGGCAGAGAGACCAGAAGTTGAGATTGGGCTTTAGAGGGTACAGAGGAAGCTATCCTGAGGCGATTATCTTTTTTTGTTTTAAAGTTTACTTTTACTTTGTGTTGTGCATTTGCACTGTGAGCATGCAGTGCCTTCAGAGGCCAGAAGAGGGCGATAGACCCTTTGGTCCTGGAGTTGAAGGCAGCTAGTTGTGAGCAGTGTGATATGGGTGCTGGGAACTGAACCCAGGTCCTCTGTAAGCACAGCAGGTGCTCTTAACCTCTGAGCCATCTCTCCAGCTCCCTGGGGGGATTGTCTTAGGAAGAATTAGTTTGATGTTCCTGTTGCCTTAAGGCGAGCACCGGCTGCTCTTCCAGAAGACCCAGGTTCAATTTCCCAGCACCCACATGGCAGCTCACAACTGTCTGTAGCTCCACAGACACACTTGCAGGGAAATAAATAAATAATCAATGCACACAAAAATAAACCTTTAAAAAGTAGAAAAGATGAAATTTCAACAGTTTACCTTGAATTACGCCCTGTACCAGACTAGGGACACAGCAGCAGCAAACAAGCCAGCTGTGTTCCCTCCTCTATGTAGCTTATTGTCTGGAAAACCAAGGAAAGCTCAGAGATGCCAGGATCACCCTGAGACCTGTGAGCCTGAGGCTCTCCTCACGCCCTCCCACAGGTGTCTATCCTGTCATCGTTTGAGAGCCGCCTCATGAAGCTGGAGAACTCCATCATCCCCGTGCACAAGCAAACGGAGAACCTGCAGAGGCTGCAGGAGAACGTCGAAAAGACGTTATCCTGTTTGGACCACGTCATCAGCTATTACCACGTAGCCAGCGACACCGAGAAGATCATCAGAGAGGGGTGAGTCTTGTGCCGAGGGCCGCGTAACCAGAGTCTCCTGGACCAGTGGCTCTAGGCCTCAGAAGGGGACTAAAACATATTTGAGCTTAGAGCCCCTCATAAGATATGCATTCTCTTCCGCACCGGCACGCCATGTCCTTCGGCCATCCTGCAAGGCTCACCCAACGTTTTTTTTTTCCTTCCCAGCCCCACTGGTAGGCTGGAAGAATACCTTGGAAGCATGGCCAAAATCCAGAAGGCTGTGGAGTATTTTCAGGACAATAGCCCAGACAGCCCGGAGCTCAACAAAGTGGTAAGGAATCATGTGACACGGCCAGGGCATCAGCCCCTGGCTTCGTGAGGACCAGGCGTGAAGAAGCCTGGGGAGGCCGGGTGTGGTGACCCGTGCCTAGAGCTTGTGAGATGGAGGCAGAAGGATCAGGAGTTGAGATGAGTAGTGTTCCAGACTAGCCTGGGTTGTGTAGCAAAACCATGTCTCAAAATATTAAGAAAGTATATAAAAGAATAAGATACTCTGGGTGGTGATAGCACACGCCTTTAATCCCAGCGCTCAGGAGGCAGAAGCAGGTGGATCTCTGTGAGTTTGAGGCCAGCCTGGTCTCAGAGTGAGTTCTAGGACAGCTAGGACTACACAGAGAAACCTTGTCTTGAAAGAAAAAAAAGATAAAAAAGAATAAGATACATAGTATTCAAAATGTAGGCCTTAGGTTCTGTTCCTTGGGAAAATATAACTTTTTATCATACTTTTTTTAAAACTTGTTATTTTTTTATTTTATTGTTTTTAAAGACTTTATTATGTATACAGCATTCTGTCTGCAAATATGCTTGCAGGCCAGAAGAGGGCACCAGATCTCATTATGGATGGTTGTGAGCCACCATGTGGTTGCTGGGAACTGAACTCAGGACCTCTGGAAGAACAGCCAGTGCTCTTAACCTCTGAGCCATCTCTCCAGCCCTTTATCATACTTTTATAGCTTACTTAAACTAAGTGTAAGATTAACATTTGATTTTTATATTTGCATGTGGAGGTTTCTTCACTATGGTAAAAAAATTCATCCTATGCTGAGGCATGGTGCCTCGGACCTGTAATTCTAGCACTTAGGAGTTTGATGCCATAAGTCCAGATTGGGCTACATAGTGAATTCCAGGCTGGCCAAAGCTACATAGCAAAACCGTGTCTCAAAGCCATAAAGCAAAACAAACAAACAAATCACATAAAGTTGACCATTTCAGTCAGGCATGATGACAAATACCTGTACTCTTGTTACTTGATAGGCAGAGGCAGGAGGATTACTTCAAATGTGAGGCCTTTTTATTGCTAAATACTATAGATATACCACATTAAGAAATGTGTGTATTCATTTCATTTGTGTATGTGGACATGTGTGTGCTGCGGTGTATATTGCCCCTCTCCCTCTACGGTGTCATTCTCTGAGATCAGACTCAGTTTATCTGGCTTGGTAGCAGATGACAAACCCATTGAACCATCTTGGCCAACCCGATATCCACCTTTGTTTAGCCATTTATCACTTGATGGGCGCTTGGGTTGTCTCCACTTCTTGTACATTGTAAATAATACTGTATGGACCTTTACATCTATATTTTAGCGTAGACATTTGTTCTGAAGTCTCTCTTGCGTTTTTTCCATACACATTTTTGTAAATTTTTTCTCAGTCATTTGTTTCACTTTCTTGTTGATAACACTTGACACTAATTTGAGGTAATCCAACTACTTTAGAGTTTTTGTTGCTGTGATCAAACACCATGACCAAAGTAACTTGAGGAGGGAAGGGTTTATGTGGCTCACACTTCCACATTGTGGTTCATCATTGAAGGGAGTCAGGGCCGGAACTCAGGCAGGGCAGGATCCTGGAGCTGATGCAGAGACGTGGAGGGGAGCTGCTTACTTACTGGCTTGTTCCCCATGGCTTGCTACACCTGCTTTCTTATGGAACTCAGGACCACCATCCCAGGGGTGGAACCACCCACCATGGACTGGACCTTCCTCCATCAATCACTAAGAAAATGCCCTATCGCCTGTAGCCCGATCTGATGGACACATTTTCTCAAGGAGGCTCCATCCTCTCAGATGACTCTAGTTTGTGTCAAGTTGATATAAAACTAACCAGCACACCAACTTATCTGCGGCTTTTATTTTACAAGTTCCTTTCTAACTAGAAGATAAACTAACAGTGAAAATGAGAAAATAATAAATTAATGCTTGTTAAGCAGAGTTTGGCCTAGAGACATCAAATATTTCTTGTTTATTTTTTAAATATTTTTTAAAGTTTTTATTTAATTTTTTATTTATTATGTACACAGTGTTCTGGCATGCAGATGGTTGTGAGCCACCATGTGGGAACTGGGAATTGAACTCAGGACCTCCGCAAGCCCAACCAGTGCTCTTAATCCCTGACCCATCTCTCCAGCCCCTCTTGTTTATTTTTATATAGGGCCTCATGTGTTGTCTAGGCCGGCCTCAAACTCACAGAGATCCACCTGCCTCTGCCTCCCGAGTGCTGGGATCACCACCACACCTGGGACAACCATCAGTTTTAGGGACAGGAAGGGAAGGAAGCACCAAGTCAGGCTTCCCAGTGTTTCTCCTGTGGGTTGACAGAGGCATGGCTGGGGCTCAAAGGCCTGAGGATGGGAGGGGGCGGTGCTACAGAACACAGCTCAGCAGGCCCCCCCCCCCCGCTTCCCTCCTGCTCCTTGCAGAAGCTGCTGTTTGAGCGGGGGAAGGAGTCACTGGAGTCTGAGTTCCGCAGTCTGATGACCCGGCACAGCAAGGTCGTCTCCCCGGTGCTCATCCTGGACCTGATCAGTGGTGACGAGGAACTGGAGGTCCAGGAAGACGTGACCCTGGAGCACCTGCCTGAAGGCGTCCTCCAGGATGTGGTCCGCATCTCCCGCTGGCTGGTGGAGTACGGCAGGAACCAAGGTGAGAGAGTTCCCTCTGCCAGAAGAGTGGTGGCTTCCCCGCCACCTCCCCAGCCTCTCTCTCTCTGTGACAGCACCTCAGTGAAAGCTCAGGCTGTCCTGGAACTCCATGTGTAGACCAGGCTGGCCACAAACTCACAGACATCCGCCTGCCTCTGCCTCCCGAGTGCTGGGGTGATGGGTATTCACCGCCACACCCAGCCGTTGCCCACGTCTCTTGACAAAGTTAGATCTGGACGTTGCCTTTGTTTTGTTTTTCAGTGTTTTAGATTTATTTTCCTTTGATTTACACATATGTTGCGTGTCTGTGAGTATATGTCACACGTGTGCACCTGCCCATAGAGGCCAGATCAGAGTCGTGTTTGTGGAGCTGTACAGGTGGTTGTGAGTCACCGGGCATGGGCGCTGGGAACCAAACTCAGGTTCTCTGAAAGCAGCCCATACCTATACCTACACCTCACCGCCCCCCAGCATAGAACATTCTATCAACAAAAATAAAAGCAGAATAAGACAAAAACCCATGATACCAACACAAGTTGGTGGCATAGGTGTAGAAAAGTACTTGCCTGACGTACAGGAGCTCCTGGCTTTGAACCCCAGCCTTGCTGGAGGACAGTTTTTCCCTCTCAGACTTTGCCTGGTTTGAGATGAGGCCATATGAGTGGCCAGAAGCCAGAGCAGGTGCTAGGAAGAGATTCGCCCGCAGCACCATGGGCTCTGCTGCCTCCCTGTACAGAAGCGAAGTGGCTGTAGGGACCTTGCTGACACACTTCTGTTGCTGTCTCTCTGCAGATTTCATGAATGTCTACTACCAGATTCGCTCTAGCCAGCTGGACCGCTCCATCAAAGGCCTGAAGGAGCATTTTCGCAAAAGCAGTTCTTCCTCCGGGGTTCCCTACTCCCCCGCCATCCCCAACAAGAGGAAAGACACACCTACCAAGAAGCCGGCCAAGCGGCCAGGTGAGCTCCACCCCTGACCATTTACATAACCAGCCGCGGGACCCTGGAGTCTGGGTTGGTTGTCTTTGTGCACTCAGGTGAGCACTATCAGCCTTCTGGAGCCCATATCCATGGTCACCAGATTCCTAGGGACACAGGATAGAGCAAACGTCCCCTTCCCAAAAGGCCGTGTAGATTCTTATACCCAGCAACTGGGTGATTTCCCTAAGGTCTGGGGGATGGGAGGGGCAGGGCCAATGGTGTGCTCAATTGTCTCCGAGGCTGGGTGGCAGAGGCCGTAGGTCAGAGTGACTTGCTAGGTCTCCTCCCCTTGCTGTGTAGTCCTGTTAGGTGAGAAGAGGCAGGGCAGACAGGCAGAGCAGCTGAAAAGCAGGTACGGCATAGAGGCCATTGTCGGCGGTGAGACAGTGCTGTTCACTCCTCCCAACCTCACGTCCTCAAAGTCCATGCTCCAGGCTAGCTCTCTGTCAGCCTGGCAGCCTTCTTCCTCAAGATGGGCTGACCTGAGTCCCAGAGAGAGGATGTTCCAGTATGTTGGCTACTGCAGTAACACCAGGAGAGAAAGCCCGTGGGCTGCAGTGAGCGCCAACCCTGGGCTCCGAGCCGCTGCTCAGGCCTGGCTAGGGAGCGTGCTCACCTAACAACAGGCCTTGAGTAGAGTTCACGCCCTCCCCAGTACTTCAGTCCCAACCCACCCAAGCCCTTCCAATCCCTTCAGAGAGCAACCACGTGGCCTGTGTCTCAGCCTTTGTTTAAGGTTTGGAGACAAGGTAAAGGGAAGCTGCCTTCAGGGCTTGGTGGCCTCTGCAGGAATTGCATTGCCCTTTAGAGAGTGTCCTGGCTGCCCCAGTAGAGAACTTGCTATAAACAGCGACTCTGCTAACCCATCCTGCTGGGCTACAGCTGCCTGCATGGCTGGCCAGTCCATCTGTGCGCCTTCCTGTGTGGGGAGGAGCTGTGTCCGTGCGCTGACAGGGCCTCAGCTGCTTCGTGCTCACTTCTTCTTCTTGGACAAGCTCACTGGAGACTCCAGAACCCTGTTTGCCCAGTCCTTCAGGAGGAGGGATATGACCTCAGGGCTCTCTGTGAACTTAATCTGTCCTTGTCATGGAGATGTGAGGGACTGTGAGGTCCCTGTGGTTCTGTGGGGCTTTAGGAGTTGGCAGGGATGAGTGATTATGGAGTCAGGCCCTCAGGACATCTGCCCCCACTCTGAGTACAGAAGAGCCCCTGGCCTCAGTGACGATGAGGCCCCAGCCTCGGCATCTGCCCTTATAACTGGGTACCTGATGGACTTGGATGCTGCCAGGTCAGCATCCCTGTCTCCCTGCAGCCAGTGTGCTGGTTAGGTCCCTGTTGAGCCCATCTGTTCCCGGGTAGGTTGTGGAGCAGGAATCTGATTCACTCATTACTAGGGCGCTCACTCGGGAGGGAGCACGGAGGGAGGGAAGCAGATGTGAGCTGGCCTGCCAAAAGGAGTTACCGGTAGCTGGTTTCAGTGTGGTACAGAGAGAGCCAGCTGAGCCTGCCCTGGCCCGTCTAGCCTGGTGGCTGCTGTGAGGACAGCAGCCTTCCTGGGTTCAGGTGTGGTGAAGGGAGCCTCAGGAAGGTGGCTCAGTTAAGCTCCTGGATGGCTCATCTCGCGGTACACTCTGCTAACCAGGACACGGCCTGCTGGCTGACATGCTGCCTATGTCCCCACATCTCCCAGGAGCTCGCTGCCCTGAGGGCCGGGCTGCTACATCTCATTTATTCTCACTTGTGACACTAACTGTTCTTTCTCCCCATGGCAAGAGCATGCTGTCTTTACCATGGTTCACCCTGCAGGTGGTGGCTCCTGCTGGCCCCTCCTAGCTTTTCAGTTTGTTGCCATTGCTGTGTTGGCCGAGTGCCTTCTGGGGTGTGGGGGCCTCTGCCTCTGTGTGTCGGAACCTCAGGCTCCCTCACAGCTCCCCGACCCCAAGCCCTCAGGGCTGCCTGCCCTGGACTGCTCTTTGGCTTATGTCCCAACACTGAGCATGCTCGGGAACTCATCCTGGGGTCTAGGCTGGTTTCCAGGTAGCCCCCGGGTGGCCCCGTCCTGCCCATAAGTGTGAGCACTTGGCTGCTTGGTCAAATGGCGCTCTGTAGGTGCTTTCTTTTCCCGATGGGTCTTCATGCACCTTGTTTTTGGTACCTTCTGTCCCTCTCGGTGAACTCAGAGCCAGACTGGGGGTCGGTGCAGAGCCCCGGGCTGAGCTGGGACACATTTTCTTCTCTCTCTGGTGACCCTGGCAGGGGCTCCTGGCAGAGGAGTTGAGAGCATGCTCACTGTGGGGAGGGCGGGGCTGGCAGAGGAGTTGAGGGCATGCTCACTGTGGGGAGGGCGGGGCTGGCAGAGGAGTTGAGGGTATGCTCACTGTGGGGAGGGTGGGGCTGGGCAGGTGGAGTTGAGGGCATGCTCACTGTGGGGAGGGCGGGGCTGGCAGAGGAGTTGAGGGCATGCTCACTGTGGGGAGGGTGGGGCTGGGCAGGTGGAGGCTGCTGCTGTCTTCTCTCACTCATTCCCTAGGTCTTCCTCTCTCCTCTCTGTGTGGCTCTGGTGACAGGGACGATCCGTAAGGCTCAGAACCTTCTGAAACAGTATTCCCAGCATGGTCTAGATGGGAAAAAGGGGGGCTCTAACCTCATTCCTCTGGAAGGTAATCACCCTGTGTTCCTTTTCCGTCACCCCTCTTTCTCTATGAATCCACTCGCTCGTTAGGCAGGACAGAGCCTCTCCAGGAGGGCCTTGGGACAAATTCTGAGAGGGCCGGGTGGGGAGTGGCAAACCCTTGATGCTCCTCGGGCTTTAGCAGGCCCAAGGACAAGTTTCCTGACCCTGGCCTGGTCCTGCCTGGCTCTGCCCTTCCTAAGGTTTGTCCTCCCTGTCTCTGTCCTGTGTAAACTCAGAGAAAGTTGTCTCGGGACAGCCCTTTCACGCCCAGATCAGCAGGGCAGGACTGAGTTGGTCAGTGCCTACGGCTACCCCGCTCTGTAGAGAGGGGAACTCTCGTAGCTAAGGGTACAGGCTGCCTGGAGGACATGTCTCTCCTCTGTTGTCAGGGGAGGGACAACCAGAGCAGCTGTGCAGGTGGATGCAATCTCCTCCAAAAGAGTCTCCCTGGGATGTACAGGAAGACAGTCCTCATTCACTCAGCAGTGACATTTCTCACGCCTCTCCGAGTCAGAAAACAGCCAGGGATGGTCCTTAGTGCTCCCTTAGAGTCGGGCTTGAAATGGCTGTTCCCATGGGGTTTGCGGCAGTGGAGGGGCTCGGAGCCCTCCTTGGTGCTCCCTCCCTAGGCCCCATTTCACACTCCACTCCTGGAGATCCAGGGCTTCTTCCCTGCACCCCAAGGGGCAGCTGCCTGGCCCCTGGATAAACGCTGCTGTGTTTGTGCGGCTGACATCCTGCTAGGTCACGAGCATGATTTCCGAGTTAAGTACCTGTCCGAGGCCCTGAACGACAAGCACGGGCCACTGGCCGGTGAGTACGTACCGAAGCTCAGCCCCGGGCAGCCGCTGGCACTGCCTACAGAGCGGTTCCCCAGATGGCCTGTTGTGCTCTAAGGATGGGCCTGGCCTGTGGCCTGTCTCTCACTTCTGTCTCCTCTGGGCCTTACGTCTCCTTGCCTCTGGTGAGATGCTTGGCTCTCTGGGCCCAGCCAGAGGAAAAGCTGCAACTTGAGCTTGGAAGGCAGGCAGAAGGGCAGGTGGCCTCTCTGAGGTCATAGCCCGAGTGTCTCACTTGTTGAGGCCATCCACAGCATGTAAAGCCAGGCTGTTCTGTGCCGGGGCTCCTGCCCACCTTCCAGTAGTGGGATGCTGTGTGCTCCTGGGGCAGTGCAACCAGGAGCCCTCCCTCTCTGAGGCTCACTCAGATTGTTTTGTTTGTTGAGATAGAGTCTCACTGTGTACCTCAAGCTGGCTTTGAACTCAGTCACCTGAGTGCTGGGATCATAGTGTGCATCACACTTGGTCTCTTCCCAGAGTTAGTTCTCCTCTACACACACACACTCACACACATGCTCACTTGCACACACGCGTGCGCGCGCACACACACACTTACATATACACTCACACACACACTCACACACATGCTCACTCGCACACACTTGTACAATCACACACATACACACTCACATATGCTCACTTGCACACGCACACACACTTGCACACTCACACATGCTCACTCGAGCGCGCACACTCACACATACACACTCATTCTCTCTCACACACATACACACTCATTCTCTCTCACACACATACACACTCATTCTCTCTCACACACATACACTCGCGCGCGCGCGCACACACACACACACACTCACAGGCACACACACACTCACAGGCACACACACACGGCAGCCTCATAGGCCATAGCCCATTACTCCCTTACACTCTTCAGGGCCAGGTGAGGTTGGGAATGACCTTCATAGGGACCACATCTCCCAGATTGAGGACCACAGTGACTGCCTGCATAAAATGACCCTGCCACCTGCCCATCCCAGACTTGTCCTCTTCCAAGCACAATCCAGAATCCTCAGGCTTGGGGTCAGATAACCTTACCCAGGGAGTTGGTTTAGGAATTTTCCTTCCTTCTAGCTTTCTCCCACCACGTCTAGTGTTTGATCTGGGGCCGTAAACGCTGCCTGTGCTGAGTGGAAAGTGAAGCCAGGAGACTGTTTGGACTGGACGGGGCACCTGACCTCCCAGGCCTGCCAGAGTAGTTCTTGCTGTGTCCTGTCACAATAGCCTGCCTCTTTCCATTCACTGCGGGTCTGACTGGAGAGACTCAGACCCCAGCAGAGTGAGTGGTTTCTTCTAGACCAGCCACTCAGGGGCACTGCTTTCCCACTAGGGAGAGACGACATGCTGGATGTGGAGACCGACGCCTACATTCACTGTGTCAGTGCCTTTGTCAAGCTGGCCCAGAGTGAATACCAGCTGCTGGCGGTCATCATCCCGGAGCTCCATCAGAAGAGAACCTTTGACTCCTTGATTCAGGTCTCGCCCTGCCCACCCTGCAGCTCCGAGCACTGACCCATGTGACTTACTGCAGAATCTAGAGGGTGGGACAGGCCTGTTGCCCCATGCCCTCGACTCTTTGGTGTTGCCTATGACCCCCTCCCCCGCCCTTCACAGCATGTTAGCTCCCCTTCACACCCACAAGGTGCCCCGCTGTCCCTAGGAAGCAACTCTGCTCTGCCCCTGCCTGACAGGGTCCTTGTCCTTCTCGCAGGACGCACTGGATGGACTGATGCTTGAGGGGGAGAACATCGTGTCTGCTGCCAGGAAAGCCATCGTCCGCCACGACTTCTCCACAGTGCTCACAGTCTTCCCCATCCTGCGACACCTCAAGCAGACCAAGCCTGAGTTTGACCAGGTGCTCCAGGTATGTGGGCCTTCACCCGGCTTCCCCGTACTCCTCTCTGGGGAACTCTAGTCCATGCTCTCCTGCCTCTCATCTGAGGTGACTCCTGGGGCTTTGGGCAAGTTTGGATGCTCACAAGGTAAGAGAAGAACCGTAGTTAATCTGGAGCTGGAGAACACAGCCTCTGGAATGAGGGCGGGAAGGACCTAGAAGGAGTTAGACTCACAGCTCGCTGGAGAGGGCAGTGAGCCAGACTCTGATGAATAAATATGCCAGCCATGTCCTCCCTCAGGGCACAGCAGCCAGCACCAAGAACAAGCTGCCGGGCCTCATCACCTCCATGGAGACCGTGGGAGCCAAAGCACTGGAAGACTTTGCCGACAACATTAAGGTGCCCATAGCCCCTTTCCCTTTCACCAGGCCTGGCTTGCTCGTGAGCTCTGGGAACTCCTCAGAGAGCAGGCCTTCAGGGGCATCAGGTTCGCTCTGTGGAAAAGCCCCCGCACTGCTGGTTTGCTGGGGAGACCCCCTGAGCCCCTCTGTTTCTTCTCTGGCACCGTAGCTCTCTGAGGCTGAGGGACAGCCTAACACCCGTGAGCAGGGGGTGGCGCCGTATGCAGGCCGACTGGGCCTCAGGCTGGGGGAAAACCCTTTCCGGGAACCAGAGGCTGTTCTTTTTCTTCCCACAGAATGACCCAGACAAAGAGTACAACATGCCTAAGGATGGCACCGTTCACGAGCTCACAAGCAATGTAGGTGCTACCCAAGCCCTGCTGAGGTGGGACCAGGCTCGGCTCCGGGGGCAGCAGCACCAGGGGGAACCCAGCCTGCCCAGAGCTCCTGGGCTCCATGAGCCGTCCTTGGTGGTGAAGGGAAGCTTCTGCAGCACAGGCAGCCAGAGCCCAAAGATAGCCTGGAGTCTGCAGCTGCTCCTGTCGCTGTGCAGACCGCTGTACAGACCGCACCGCAAGACTGGGCCTGCGGGTTGGGAGGGGCGTGTGTGGGAAGCCGCCGCCTCGGGCTGCCCTGACCCTCTTGGATGTGTTCTCTCCACCAGGCCATCCTTTTCCTACAGCAGCTTCTGGACTTCCAGGAGACAGCGGGTGCCATGCTGGCCTCCCAAGGTACCCGACACCTGTGCTGGGCTTACTTGGGGACATAGTTAGGCCCCTAGTAGGCACTAGCTTGCTGTAGGTGTGGGCAGGGTGTGCTGAGGGGTCTCCAAGCCCGGGGAGTAGGGTTAAGACATGGCCTGTGGGGAAGTCTAAGCCCATGGACTTCTCCAGCCTGAGCATAAGGAGGGCGGGGTTTGTTGGCGTCCTTAGGAGTCCCACCCCCTGCTTGCTCCTTTGCTGTCAGTACTCTGGGGTGGGCGCTGCAGGTCTCAGGGGCTCACCCTGTCGCCGTCGTCGTCCCCCCCCCGGGCGCTGCCACACCTGTCCACTCCCCCGTTGTCTGCCTGTTCTGTTGCTCCACCTCTCTCGCTGCCCCTGGTGGGACTGGGGCTTGGGGCGCTGGCATGCAAAGAGAGTTCTCTTCTGGGTCATCCCGAGAGCGGAGGTCCTGGGCCCTCCATTCGCTTCTGTTGGGGAGTGGGCGGGGCAAAACGCCAAGGGGCAGCCCGTTCTCTTGGGCTGCACTTTCCAGTGTTTCTGGTCTTGAGTTAGCTCGGTTTGGTGTGTGCTGCTGTCTGTCTGGCTGTCGTGGGGGAAAGGTCTGCTTGGCTTGGGGTGACACGGCGACTTCTAACCTGTTTTTTGCACTTTGCATCTTTCTTCCTCCTCTGTTTCCCTCCTCCCCCTCTGTGTGCACTGCCTGTCACTCCGTAGTTCTTGGGGACACATACAATATTCCTTTAGACCCCCGAGGTAAGCAGTGTGGTCCCCGAGCCCCATCCTCCCCTCCGAAGCCCTGTGGTTGAGGTTCCCAGGGTACCAGTTCTCAGGGCCCACTGGGGCAGGGCATGAGTTCTTTAAGGCCCTCATTTCCCCCTTCCCTTGAGCTCCTTCTATCTCTAAGTTTACCCAGGCAGCACCTAATGGGTCCAGAACCCAAGAACACCCCCTGGCTAGCCTAACCCCTCCCCTTGGCCTTCTGTTCTGTATCACAGGTCTCTGCTGGGGGTGAGGACAAAGTGGGAAGACTGGGTGACCCTATCTAGAAACCCTTGCTGTTGGGATCTAATAGACAGCACCCATCTGAGTTAGGGGCCAGGCTGGGAAGGCATTGGTGGCTTCACCTCTCCTTCCTGCCTGCTGCCGTGGGCTGGCTCCTTACCCCGTCACTGTAGAGGACAGCCCTGGGCTCCAGACAGAGTCCACAGTGCTTCCTGTAGCTCAGCAGGTGCCCATCTCTGCTTGAGCTCCTCCTTCAGCCCTGCCCCACCAAGCCCGGGGCCTGTCCCAACACTTCCTCCTCTGTCCCTGGGGTGTGGGAAGGGCCATCAAGGGTCTCCGCTATTGCCACCATAGTAACATCTCCTCTCCTCTCAGAAACCAGCTCTTCGGCCACCAGCTACAGCTCCGAGTTCAGCAAGCGCCTGCTGAGCACCTATATCTGTGAGTCTCCCTGGCAGAACCTCCTCCGTCTCCCTCCTCCCTGGCCTCAGTGCTGTCCATCTCTTCCTGGGTCCCTCTCCTGGCCTTGGGAGAGTAACCTGCCGTCTAGCTCAGGGTCCAGGGGTTGAGACGAGCTTCAGAGGCCCGGGAGTCAGGAGAACAAGGAGCAATTGTCAGGAACTGGTTAGCAGGCCCTAGTGGTCACGTCGTTTGTCTCAGACACCTTTGGTGTAAGTGGCCCCATCATTCTGTGCAGGCAAAGTCTTGGGCAACCTGCAGCTGAACCTGCTGAGCAAGTCCAAGGTGTACGAGGATCCCGCCCTGAGTGCCATCTTCCTACACAACAACTACAACTACATCCTCAAGTCCCTGGAGAAGTAAGTGGCAGCCATGCCAGCCTCTGCCTCCCGGGGCCGGATGCGCCATCCGCCGCCTCCTAGCCCTGTGTGCTTGCGTCTCCTTGGTCAGCACCCAAGGGTGCTTCTGCCCTAGAGCTCAGGAAGGTTCAGAATGGGGGCCTCCTTCCCACTCTTGGTGCCAGGGCCACTGACTTCTGAATCCCAGGTGTTTCTTTTCTCTCTCTCTCTTCGGCCTCCACCTAGGTCTGAGCTGATCCTGCTGGTGGCTGTGACCCAGAAGACCGCTGAACGTTCCTACCGGGAGCACATCGAGCAGCAGATCCAGACCTACCAGCGCAGGTGAGCAGCCGCCGGCCCTCCTGCTGTCCCTGCTGAACCCGCCACACCCCCACCACACCCACCACACCCCGCCACACCCCCAACACACACCCACCACATGTCCTTCTTAGCCGCTCATAGCATGAGGCCAGCAGCTGCTGGCGACATCACAGGTAACCCGTCTGTTTTCCTTCTTGGGGTTTGTTTTTAGTGCCAGGGCCTTGTCTGCCACTAAGCTATGCCCCTAGCTTTTTTTTCTCTTCTTGGTTTTTTTTTTTTTTTTTTTTTTGGTTTTTCGAGACAGGGTTTCTCTGTGGCTTTGGAGGCTGTCCCGGAACGCACTCTGTAGACCAGGCTGGCCTCGAACTCACAGAGATCCGCCTGCCTCTGCCTCCCGAGTGCTGGGATTAAAGGTGTGCGCCACCAACGCCCGGCTTCTCTTCTTGTTTTTTAAATCTAACTCACGAGTGGAGAGGGAAGCCCCCCCCCTAGCTGTTCCCCAGGGACCACATGGCCTCTGCAGAGTGGTCTGCCAAGTGTCATGGCTAAGAATAGTTGAAAAGTGAGCTGTCAGAGAGGTGAACGATGTTTGGCCCTAGAGAACAGCGGGCTGTGAGAGCCCTTCAACTTGAAAAGGTTCTGGGTACGTCTCCAGTCCTCCGGCTTCCTTGGCCCATTTCTTTCTGAGCGTCCCCTCTTCCTTCCTGTCTATCTGTCCTCTGCTCCTCTCTTCCCATCTGTTTCTCTATCTTAATTTGCCACAATATTGATGTGAACTGTGGTCGGCAGTGTGTGTTCAGTTTATCGAGCGCCTTCTGCTTCCTGTCCCTAATTGTCAGGGCAGAAATGTTCCCAAGGAGAGCATCTCTGTTGTTTTCCTTACTCCTGACCCAGATCATTCCTACTGCCCTCACCTTCAGTAGACTGAGAGATTTGCAGAGCAAAGCCAGCTGACTTTAGGGAAGAAGCAACTATCTGAAGCTGTCTCTCTCTCTCTTCTCACCCTGCTGTCTGGCAGCTGGCTAAAGGTGACTGATTACATCGCAGAGAAGAATCTGCCAGTGTTCCAGCCCGGAGTCAAGGTAAGCCCAAGGCCTGTGCCAGGAAGGGGTGTCAGCCAATGTGGACACTTGGATCTTAGGAAAAATGGACAAGCATCTCTCTGGACAGAGATGTGTGAGGCCACGAGGGCGGCAGGGAGGGCGGGTAGCGTGACTCTGCTCTGAGCATAGCTTTCTCCACTGCCTCCCCGTGTTCTCTGGACCCCCAGCTCCGGGACAAGGAGCGGCAGGTGATTAAGGAGCGATTCAAGGTGAGTTGAGGTCCTCCCTCCCAGCCACTGATGGCTGTTGCCGCCGTGGCGACATAGGCACAAAGCTTTTGTCTCTCGGTCCCTCCTTCCTTCCTGTTTGGTGGTCAGGGATTCAATGACGGCCTTGAAGAACTGTGCAAGATTCAGAAGGCCTGGGCCATTCCAGACACAGAGCAGAGGGACAAGATTCGACAAGCTCAGAAAACCATTGTCAAGGAGACCTATGGGGCATTTCTGCACAGGTGAGCCCATCCCCGCTCCAGGCCTCTGCTGCCCGCTTTCCAGGCGGCCTACAAAGAGCACGTTTGGTGCTCTGGGCTTGGGAATTCCATCCGGGGGCACCTCTGCCATCTTAGCACACGTGTCTAAGTGTTAAGGGTGCCAACACTTAGGCTGAGGGTGGAGATGCCCTCCCCCTTGACCTCTTACCATGGTGCCTGGTCAGGTATGGCACCGTGCCCTTCACCAAGAACCCTGAGAAGTACATCAAGTACCGTGTGGAGCAGGTGGGCGACATGATCGACCGCCTTTTCGACACCTCAGCCTGACCCTGCCAGTGTCCTGCCCGGGCCACCAGACTCACATACCATCAGGCTGATGAGCCAGGGTTAGCCTCTAGCCAGGTGGGTTTGAAGTCCTTTGCAACAGAGACCTTGCTGCCCCACCCAGGAGCCCTGTCCCTGGTGTTTGCATCTCCCCTCTGGCCCACTTGCACCCACCCAGAATGTGGGGCCCTTCTCACCTTGGGTTTCACGATGGACACATCTGGCAGGGGCCACAATATGGCTTCTGAGGCAAAAGATAAGAAGGACAGAGGCTGGTGCCCCCAGCGGCCATGTGGATACCAAGAATGGGGTGGCAGACTCCACGCCGCCCCCTCCATCCTCTTCAGCCCACAGATGTGAGTGGGCTCAAACAGCAGGCCAAGTGGTAGCCCTCAGACTTAGAGGAAAGGCCGTCGGTGCCGACCTACTCTCTTGGACTCATTGTCCACAGTTCTGCCCTGGGATGTCCTGCCACCTGGGAGTCACCTGGTGACAAGAGGCAGGAGGGCTTTGTCTCTGGCTTTGGGTCTGACACACTGCAAGAAGTGTTTGGAAGAGTTCTGAACTGCTCTGTGGGGCCAGCCCCTCAGGCGTCTGTCCCTGGTCCCCAGCTTCCATGCTCCCGGGCCAGGCACACATTAATGATTGCAGGGGCTTTAGGCTGGATGCATGAGACACAGGCAACCTGTGGACGAAGGAAGCAAGTCAGGAGCAAGGGGGAGGCCATGAGGGCCAGGCCGGGCTGTACTGCTTAGGATGCCGGCGGACAACCGTGGTGGAGAAGGGCGGGCCCCGCTGGTGCATTTGGGGATGCTTGTTTTGCTTTTACACTCAGAGGGGAGCTCAGGATGCATGAGCCCCCGTTAGAGAATGGAGCTGATCTCTCTCAGACACTGTCCTAACTCTCGCCTAGCTATAGGAACTGTGCTGACCCTTAGATCTGTATCCATAAGCCCCACCCTGTCACACACCGGCCCACCACCATGGCACTACCTTGCTAGGGGCTGGGTCAGTCTTGAACATGTCCCACATCCAGACGAGCCCCGCCCACGAGCCGACCGCACGGCACACTGGCCGCATCCGTGAGGAAAAGTGTGTTCAGCAGCAGTAGGCCACCCTCCCTTGAAGTCCTTCCTCCTCCAGGAGCTGCTGGCAAGGAAAGGAACTGTTTTTACTTGCTCCAAAGCATTCTTCCTGAGCAGAAGGGTGAAAGACAGGGGTTCTTAGTCCAGAAATGAAGGCTGGAGCGGGCTTGACAGCAGAGTGATAAGTTGTACACCTGCAGCTGAGCCAGACCTGGTGTCCGGGTGTGCTGTGGGCTCCCAGCGTCTGCCTGCTGGAGCCAGCCTCTGGGCGTCCCCTCTTTATCCTCCCCAGGTAGAAGCCGGTTTGAAGCAGGGCAGATTCATCCCTTATAGGCCCCGCACTCCTCCTGGCCCCGCATTCCCAGAGTGGGCCTGAGCTCTTGCCTGCCTTCCACGCTAGGTGCTGGGCTCCTCTCATCACTCAGATCCCCTCTGGGCATGGGGTTGGGGCCACTCTCTCCAAGGCTGTAAGCCTTGGTGCTGAGGAAGAGCAGCCGCGGGTGAGGAAGTAAACTGCCCACGGAGGGGGCAGAGGCTGAACCGAGCTAGTCTTGGCGACTAGGAGGCTACAGTGGAGCAGGTCTCGCTGAGCAGTGGATCGCAGGAAGGAGAGCTGGGCAGAGCCTGCACTGGGGAGGAGCAGAAGACAAGCCAGCCCACAAGCACTGTCACTTTGTAGGCAATGCATGCACTCTGGTGTGAGGACAGCAGACCCTCACACACATCCGCTAACAACAGTGTCTCCCGGGGACCACCCTGCCAGGATGGACTTGAGCTCTGTTCTTCGGGATCAGCTTGGAAGCTCTCCCTGGGATGTAGAAGGGGCAGGCAGAAGGGAGACTACGTAGCTCTGGGCACACACCTTCCCTCTCCCCTCCATCAGGCTCTACCAGTCTCTTCCCAGGTGGACTCAGTGTCGCCTGGAGGAGGGCATGGGAGGCTGGAGAGGGACCTGAGCTTTCAGGTTGTGACCTGCCTGTTCTTTCTGACACAGTCCCGCCCCGCACATGGGCCTGGAACTCCAGCTGTCACTGAAGGGGTGGATGCAAACTATGAGCTAGGGAGAGAGAGGCTCGAGCCCAGGGAGGCACAGGCTTCTGCTGGCTCCCGGTGGGAGAGGGAGCTAGTGCACAAGAGCCCCCTGGCCTTTGGAAGCACATCAGATGGCCTCCAGTTAGAGAAGAGCCTCCCTTGTGAAAATAAATGCACTTGGCAGCAGCTCGTGGCAGAGGCGATTGCAGATTCCTCTCTGTCCTCCGTCTCACACCAGAAACATCAGGGCCCGGGGGGCAGCGGCAGTGGGCTTTCCTGGGAACGCTTTCCTGGTTTAACATCTTGTAGGTGTGTGCATACATACTGGGTAGCTGCCCCTTCAGTTGCCTTTGGGGATGTGTGCTGGTCTACTAGGCCACAGAGCCCTGTGCCAGACTGGACTGGAGACCAGCCTCTGTGACATCCTACCCAGTCTCACACCCCAGGTTCTGTGAGCACCAGTGTTGCTGAAAGGGTGCAAACAGGCTGCAGTCGCTGTGGTCCCCTAGGAACTGGAGTCACACCCTGGTCACCCTGTGGATCCTGGACCTTCCAGTCCACCCTTAGCCCACAGGGAGAAGCACCATGACCAGAGCCCAGCCCATTCTTGTACTGGGGGGGGGGGAGACCTCTCCCCTAGTTTTGCCAGCCCCACCGGGGTTCTAGAGAGCTTCTTACTCATGCTACTGTGGTAACCACCAGCAGGGAAATACTCCCTAAGAGGCATCTAGAGATGGAGGGAGGGAGGAGGAGGGGTCTATGTGGTACGTACCTGAAATACCTACCCCACACTTCCTGGCCCACACTTCCTACCCCACACTTCCTGCATAGTGAGTCTGGGTGTCTGGAGCAAATCCCAGGGCAGTGTGACTACCTGCTAGGGATGTACACTAACATTCCAGGCTAGACAAGCATCCAGCCAGGACAAGACTCCAATGAAGCCTCGTTCTCCACATATGTGTCCTTAAACTCAGTATGTTGGTGAGAGCTAATGTCTGGAGTGTGTTCCCATCTTTGCCTCCCCCAGGTGGGAGCTCACCCCTTAGCATCAGCCCAGGGGACGCCAGGCTGCAGGATGTGCTGGGGAGGAGAACCTCACAATGGGGATGGCCACTAGCCAAGCTGAGTGCTGCCCCCTTCCCAGTTCGGCACTGGGTACTGCTCCTCCCTGCATCATCAGGGCACTCGGTGCGTTGCACACCCTGGACATAAACGCCCGCATGCACGTTAGCACTGGTGCACCCCCACGTCAGGTGCACTGGGTGGCCCCCGGAAACACCAGGGGTGAGCTGAGGACGGAGAAGGATGGCCAGGAGAATGGAGAAGGTCACGTTTATCTCAGAACCCAGATCCTACCACTTAAAACCGTAAACCCTCTACCTACCAACTGCTGATGGGTAGCAGTTGGACCAAGAGCTGGTTGGTGCTGAGACGGAGGAAGGCTAGATGGAGCTGGGTGCACAGAGCCATCCTCAGACTCTCACTGGGCAGAACAGCGGGGCCTGAACTGCAACCTCTGTTGGACCCATTTTGTGGGCACTGAGCCCCTGGTGAAGGCGGCTGCTCTGTGCAAGGGCTCAGCCTTGAACTAAGCGTATGTCTCCCACCCAGTCCCACGAACACCCAAAGACAAAGCTCAGGGTCCAGCCCCAGCCACTGCGCCTGCCTAGGTGTCCTGTCCTGCTCCATGCCAGCACCTGGAGCATACTGCCCTATGAGGCAAGCATAGACCTTGGTCTCCTTTCCTTTTCTCTTTTATTTATGAAATGTGAGTGTTCTGTTTGTGTATGCTGCATGCACCAGATCCCCTTACAGATGGTTGTGAGCCACCATGTGGTTCCCGGGTCTTGAACTCAGGACCTCTGGAAGGGCTCTTAACCACTGAGCCATCTCTCCAGGCCCACTGAGTCTCTTCTACAAGCCCTTAACTGGGTCGGTGTGCAGGCTGTGTGTTTCAGTGGTGTCTTTGGCCAAAGTTGGCCCACTCCATGATGTGTGATGGAGACATCTTCGTCCTTGCTCTACCTTGGACTTATGTAAAGTGCCTTGGTCAGGACCTCGGGGACATGGAGCCCAGTGACTGAAACCTGGGCATCCCCGTTCTGCCAAATTAGTTTGCCCCAACCCAAAGTACTTAGAATCGATCTCTGTAGCGTGTGTTTGTGGAGTGGAACCTGTCAGGAGGTGTCCTATTGCCCCTAAGCAAAAATTAAAATGCTGGATACTTGACCCTGCCCGGTTGTAGGCAGGGAAACAAACGCAAGGTCATGGGTGAAGCCTGGCCGTAGAGGCGTCGGGGAGCCCTTCACGAATTTGTGCACAGCTGGAAACACAAACACAAGTGATGCTTGTCGCCCATCAACTCACTCAAATCTGTGCCGCTTGTCATGGTCACAGGAGTTGGCTCATGACTTAGGTATGTACAACTAGCATCTGGGGGGGAGCACCTGCTGGGCATCGCTGGATCCCCAGTTTCAATTAGGGACTTTAATTCTCTAATAGCGAGCTAAGCACCCTGCGACCCGCTATGAGAAGCCTCCCACACCCTATGAAGTCCCAGAGACTCCCCCCCCCCAGGCTTGGGGCTTCGTGACAGAGATCCCACATGCATCACAGCATATGAAATGGTTTGCACCTCTCATTTATTCTTCAGACTGTATCTCGTGTAGTTCGGGGTGGGGGGGAGGGGAGGCTCAAATTCCATGGCTGGCTTTGCTCCTGCTGCTCCTCTAACTTCCTAAGCGCTCAGATTGAAGGCTTATGTCACGTGACTCAGACGTCCCCTACAGTTCTCAGTCTATGGCTGCAACCCACGAACACCCAAGCGTAACCCCAGGTGTCCTCAGGTCACACTGCAGATGTTAGATGCCCTTTATCCTTTAACAGATGGGTTGAGGGCTCTACTGGAGTCTATGCAGTTGGGAAGTGCGGATGCGGCGACAGGGGGGGTCCGCTGCCTCACTCACGTGTGTCAGGTCTGTGGACTCGCGTTCCAGCACACTGCCACTATGGTTGCCAGGCGCCACGACGCACACTCGGCCCGAGGCTCGCCTCGGGGCGCGGCACAGCAGGCCTGCGCAGATTTTGCGGAACCCCTTGCGGAAATGCTTAGAGACTAGCGCGTAAACGATGGGGTTGACGCACGAGTTGGCATAAGAAACTAGGTGTGAAAGAATGCGCAGCGCGTAAGTGGCGCGCGTGAGCGGGAAGCGGCCAAACCACACGCAGAGGATAAGCGCATGGTGGGGCATCCAACACAGGCAGAAGAGCGCTGCAACGATGACGATCATGCGGGTCACCTTGCGCTTGGCGCGCTGGGAACCCGAACCTGCAGCCACTGGGTCGACTGTGCGCCAGAGGTAGCGCAGAGTGCGCGCGTAGGTCAGACTGAAAACCAGCACTGGCAGCAGGTAGCTGAAGACGAAGGTGCAGAGGTCCATGGCGCGGCGTCGAGGCGCGCTCCACGCTGGGTGGCACACGGTCAGGTTGGCCAGCTGCGACTGACTGTAGTAGCTCAAGTAGGGCCCAGAGAAGAGCAGTGCTAGCCCCCAGATGAGCCCGATGGCCGCCAGTGCGTTCCGAGGTGTGCGCAGCTCGCGGGAGTGCAGCGGGTAGCGGATGGCCAGATACCTGTGGAACAGTGGGGGGCAGGGATGTGGCGGGTAACCGAGAGAACTCACTGCTACGCCACCGCCAGCCCTACCCTAGCTCTGGAAGAAGGCCATAATGAAAGGTTATATGGCCTATGTCTGGAGGCAGGCCCAGTGCTTCTGATACGAATTTGATCCTACAATTAGGACAGGACCTGGTGCAATAATAGCGGAAGTCTAGGCCATTCATCGGCTGTCCCTGAGTGGGACTTACTCCGCTCGAAAGGGCACCCCGAAACCACCGAAGACAAAAAACTGGAGAATTTGCCCGGACTCCTGGGGACAGTGATTACCGTCTTGTGACAACCTGGAGAAGGCTGGTCCCCAGTGCCCGAGGCTCTGACACACAACCTGGGCAATGCTTGGGTTAAGGAACAGCAAGGAAATTCCTGAAGAAAGCTGAAGTCCCGTGCTTCCCACTAGCAGGCTAGGTTTTTTTTCTTTTTCTTTTTTTTTTTTTTTTTTTTTGAGGCAGGGTTCCTCTGTGGCCTTGGAGACTGTCCTGGAACTCGCTCTTGTAGACCAGGCTGGTCTCGAACTCACAAAAATCCATCTGCCTCTGCCTCCTGAGTGCTGGGATTAATGGCGTTCGCCACCACCGCCTGGCTTCCCACTAGCAGGCTCGGAGCACACACCTTGCACTCGGGGGAAATGGAAGGAGAGTGGGCATCATGGCCTTTCCTGACTGCTCTTCCGTAGGAAGGGAAAAACCAGAATTGGACCAGGATTTCCTCCCAGGACCTGTGCCTAGCGTCTTTTCCAGCCAAGGTCCCTCCAAAGCATTCTGGAAGTTTCTCTTTCTCTGCCCTTTAGCTAGAGGGGAGCATCAATCTGCCGGTTTCTCTGGCCAGCAGCCTTGACCTGGAGGGCGTTTTGGAGCAGCTAGGAGCCGTCACTCATGCTCTCTTGGACTTCAGCGTGGGTCCTCCCCAAACACAGCCCAGTTCCAAGCCTGAAGTGCCAGACGAAAGTCCAGGTCCTGAGTTTGGCACCAAGAAACAGATGCTTCCCTGCAGAACTTAATTACCATCTGGCTATTGGAACAAGTTACTTACACACCAGCTCTAGTCTGTAAGCTGAGTACGGTAATGTTCCATAGAGGCTTTAAACTCAAGCAATACTAATGGGAAGACTCCAGGGAGCTGATTTCTCCAGCCTTCGAGGTCCTTGGACCTACTTAATAGAGGGACCCTCTTAGTCACTGACTCTTTTTAATATTTTCTTTTTTAAGATTTATTTATTTATCACATATACGGTGTTCTGCCTACATGCAGAGGGCACCAGATCTCATTACAGATGGCTGTGAGCCACCATGTGGGTACTGGGAATTGAACTCAGGACCCCTGGAAGAGCAGTCAGTGCTCTTAACCTCTGAGCCATCTCTCCAGCCCCCAGTCACTGACTCTTAAGGCCCTTTCTCCTCCACTCCCGCTTGCGTTTGCACTTCACTGCCTCGGGTCACCGTGATTTCTGTGTTCACACCCACTCTGCGCTCCCTCCTGGATCCCCGCATTGCGGCTCCCGCCCAAGCCCCTGCCTGGGTACA